ACTGTTTGCGAATTGTGTGGCCTTACTGGGGGTGGGGTGTGGGGGTGGCAGCTGGGCAGTGCACACTCGATTTCAAAAGCCAACGCCATTCTCATTTAGCATGCTCTCTCTGCCTTGTGCTTGAACATCAAATGCAACCTCTCAGCTACTCTTCAGTGCCATGCCTGTTGCCATCCTACCAGGATGGTCATGGACTCATCCTCTTAAATTATAAACCTCAACAAACTTTTCTTTAAGTGGCCTTGGTCATGTCTCATCACAGTAAAAAAGAACTAAGAATGAAGTGTGATAGTAAAAAAGAAAGAAAACAAACCAACAAAACACTCAAGTCAGGTTTACATATAGCCCAGGTAGTCTCCAATTCACTATGTAGTCAAGGAAGACCCTAAATTCCCAATCCTTTAGCTTCTACATCCCAAAGTACTAGGTTTATAGGTGTGCACCACCACACCTCACTAAATGATAGAACCAAGTGTAGCAGAGTAGACCTATTAAAACTACAGCTCTAAGATATGGCTTTCCCAACAACAGTAACAATTTAAAATTGTTTCAAGGATAAAAATTAGCTGCAAAACAAAAACAGAGTTTTATCCTCAATCATGGAGACCATGAATAAACTAAATAGACAATATTGTTTTCCCATAATTATTACATGTAGATAATTTTCCTGACTAACAAACCTTATACTATCACTTTAAGTGTCCAAAATGGTGGATAGAAAAATTCCTTCCCTACTGGGTTTTTCAACCTAGAATCTTAACTGGTAGCAGACTATATTTACTTTGAAGAGAGGCATGAGGTAGAAATGATGCGCTTATTAGCAGCATCAAGGAAATCAAAATAGGTTGATTACCATGGGTTCAGGGTCAACTTGAGATATGGAGGAAAACTGTGTCCCTAAAATCAAAAGTTCTTTCTGGTGAGGGTGGGTGGGTATAACATCACCCATTAAGTGTTTTCTCAGCACATACGCAGAATTGTTAAAGGAATAGAAACTAGGTGCTTAAAATCTTGAGATGGTGAATTATAAGCCCCTTTGGGACACCACAACAACCCAATACAGTATGCGCAAACATTTCATCTCCACAACAGCAGCCAATTCTAACCTTTAAGTGGCTGTGATCCCCCTGACTCAGTCTCCCCCAGTGTTAGCATTATAGGTGTGCACGGGTGCTACTTAAGTGATCAAAACCTAATCAATCAAATCAAAACAAAACCAACCAACCAAAACCCCCTCAAAAGCCTAGTCACTAAAACCATCTCCCAAATGAAGGATCCAAACAGGAAAAATCAACAGCACACCCAAGGCAGTTAAACCTACTAGCATCTAGGGGCATACCTAAACAAACGTCCTATGGAATTTTCCACATGTTTTTGTTATTTTTCAAGACAGGGTTGCTCTGTGAAACAGCCTTTGTAGACCAGACTAGCCTCAAAATCACGCGAGACCCACCTGCTTCTGCCTCCGATTAAAGGCGTTTATCACCACACCTGGCCCAAAGACTTGTGCTTATTATCACTAAGGCTTTAACCTGTATTTGGTCGTTGATCAAGAGTAATCAGACAGGTTCAGATCACAGATCCTAGTCAGCTCTGCAGAGTATTATAAGTCATGCACAATATAATGATGGCACAAATTAAAAATCACCATCTTGTCCTTTCCAGTGAGAAACTCAGTAAGACACTACACAGATCAAAACCAAGTTTTGTTTTACTTAGGTGTTAATACCTGCCTTTATATGCTGGTAATCAACGTATCAGTATTAAAATAGAAACCCTAACAGCAAAATTCACCTTTTAATACAAATCTGTCAATTCAGAGTTTTGCCATACACCTTGACTAATCTAGTATTTTATAGTCCAGGCTAGCCTTAAACTCACAGCAATCTGCTTGTCTCCGCTTCTCAATATGCTGGGATTACAAACATACACGATTAGACCTAGTGTTCCCCCCAATTCCACAGGGTTTCTTGTGTAACAGTCCTCACTGTCCTGGGACTTGCTCTATAGACCAGGCTGGCTTTGAATTCAGAGATCCAGCCTCCGATGTTTTGGAATTAAACCTCTGGAGCTTTGGGATTAAAGGTGTGTGCTGCCACTGTCCAAATTTTAATCTAATTTTTTATTTTTACTATAACTTACAAAAAAGAGTATGTCTTTATAAATTTGTCTAATTTACTAGAAACCCAATACAAACATTGGGTTTAGCAATCCTCAGGAAATTGCTTAAAAGATACAGAATCGATCTACTGTTCTTTCATTCCTAGACATAGTTTGTAATTCTTGCTCATGGCAACACAATACTTTGTTATATTTGATTCACTTTGTGCACAAAGTATCGTTTTAAATTTCTGCATTTAATCAATACTCAGTGTACCTACAATTCAGCAGACTTAAGTATAATCTTACCAATCAACTAAAACTTATAGATTTCCCCACGTAACATTTTTCTCACAATTAAGCTCATTAAAAACATTATCATGTGGTAGCAGGAAACACTTCAATGGAGATCAGGGAACAATCTTGTGGGTTCTGTCCTCTCCCCTTCCACCTTTCCTTGGGTGAAGATTGAGCCATCTCGCCAGCCCTAAATATGGATTTTTATCTCAAAATAAGAACATCCAGCTCCAGCTGTACTATGTCTTCCTAAGATTAGGTTTTAAAAGATGCCAATTAAGAATGTTTCAAAATTAACAACTCAAGGTTTTCTTCCAGTGCTGGCTGGGAAGTACATGGATGTAAATAGCCTGGCTTCAAACTCATAGCCATCCATCTGCTTCTGCTGGGTTTAAAGGCAGACACGACCATGTCCTGCCTGATAATTTTTTTTCCCCTGGACCCAGGGTTTCTCTGTGTAGCCCTGGCTGGCCTCCAACCCAGAGATTTGCCTGTCTCTGCCTTCAGTGTGCTGAGATTAATGGCGTGTGCCACACCTTAAAGGCTTCTTAGTTGTAATTTTTAAAGAAAAAATTCTTTAGTTAAGATTCTTACATGTTTTAGGGTTTCACAAACTTACCAATGTAGTTTTATTGGAGGCCATTTTTTTTTAAAAAAATCGAAGACTTGAAGAGCTATTGCGAGAAAAAAATGCATGACAGTTAAATTTTCATGACACACAAAAGGCAACTGCAAGTTTTGTGTGGATTTCATCCTGCACATTTCAGATAAAAATGCAGGGAAAACAGTTCAGAGATTCTATGTTATTAGAGGTACATACTTAAGTATGTTAGTGCTTTAACCAAGTTAGTCAAGTTAAAACCTTACCAAGGACACTGGTACCTCAGACTTTACTTGGTTATAATACAAAATTACCTTTCCAATGTAAATCTTTATTTGTAACAAATACAATGTTTATTTTCTATGAAAGGCAATCTTCTGTGTGAATATCAAGCATCATTAATCGGTAAATTACCATGATTTTTTCCCTCTAAATTTCTGAATAGTCCAAGAAACTCGTGTATAATTAATTCTATTTTTTTTTTCAGAAGCCCTCCCTCTTCAATCATGGAGTAGAATAAAAACACTGAGATGTCTCAGTCCTATTTCCTGGCCTTTTGCGGGGGGTGGGGGGTGGTAACCACTCTCTATAGTCTGGTCTGGGTTTGCACGCCAGGCAATACTCCTGCCTCAAGCTTCCCAAGCCTGTCCTGCTAAAGCTGGAAGGAACTGCCCTCCTCCACGCCCGCTCTTCGAAGAGGGCCCCTTCCTTGTTCGATTCCCTCGTCTACCAGGCCACGACCAGGAGTCCGCCCCCCACTCGGGAGCGCGGGCCTCGTGGTCAGCGCCTCCGCGGGGAGAAACAAAGGCGGCGGCGGGGGCTCAAGGGCACTGCGCCACCAGCCCGCGCCTCCCCCTCCGGCGGCGGCCACGTAGCGGGGAGCTCGGGGCCTCGGGCCTCGCAGCGGCAAAGCCAACCTCGCTCTCCCCGCGGGCCCGCGACGCGGCTGGGGGGAGGGGAGCCCCGCGCTTTGTCTGGAGTCTCCGCGGCTGTCATCGCGCTCCCACCCTCCGCACGACTATCTAATCTCCCCCGTAAGGTGGCGCGGCGCCTCAGCCAGGCCCCGCCAGCCTCCCCCGCAGCTCGGGGCCCACGGCGGAGCGCGGGGCCCGCAGCCTCTCCCCGCAAGCCCGGGCGCAAAGAGCATCCTAGCCCCCGCCACGCACGCACAAGATAAGAAAGCAAGCCACCGACTTCACCGCTCGGATGCTCCGGGCCGCGGATCCTGCAGAGTCTCCCGGCGGCGCGCCTTAGCTCAGCCACATCCGAGGGGAGGGGGCGCGGGCAGCTCGGCCTGGGGGGAGGGGAGGCACCGCCCACGCCCGGGCCGCGCGGGGCCCGCCGGGAACGCGGCCTGCGGGGGGCGGCGTGCGCGCCACTCACCGTCCGCGGCGTGGCGCCTCGGGGGTCTCCTTAGGGGGAGGCGAGCAGGGCCGCGGGGGCCTCTCGGCTCGCGCTGCGCGCCAAAGCCGGGCTCCGCCCACCTCCTCGCCCCAGGGTTGGGGCGCTGAGCCGCGGGGTTCTTTAAGCACCACCTTCTCACGGGGTGCTGGACTCGGACTGGGAGGGAGCGGTACCCCCGGGACAAGGACAAAGATTAGCGTGGCCCGGAACACCCCGGGCTAGGATTGGCGCAGGCGGAGCTGCAGGGACTGCGCTAGGGTGGAGAGGGCCGCACGCAGGAGCCGCCGCTTAAGCCCCGCCCGGCAGCGTTAATTTTAAACTGCGCGACCGTTTTCTCGGCTCCCTGCGCCGAGGTTGGGGGCCGGACCTAATTCCGGACGTAGTAACACGCCGGGCGCGAGCCTTCCGCAATTCACTGAAGCCCGCTGCGCAAGTGACGTAACGCGGCCTCCCTAATCCGAAAGGGGGAGGCGCACGGATTTGGCGTAAGGGGCGTGGCGCTCATTCCCGCCATTGGCGGCGGTTAGGACGTTTACGTAACGGCCTGACGTCAGCAAAGACGCGTTAGCGGGGGAAGGTTCTAGAAAAGCGGCGGTCCCGGCTCCAGCGGCAGTAGCAGCGGCGCCGGCTCCGGTGTGCAGGTCTTCCCAGCGGCGCGGTTTCGCGAGCAGCGGCTGCTCTCTCTCCCTCCCCAACCCCCAGCGTCAGGACGAGTCCGGTGCGTGCGCGTCCGCGGAGGTCTTTCTCGTCTCGCTCGGCTGCGGGGAATCGGGCTGAAGCGACTGAGTCCGCGATGGAGGTAACGGGTTTGAAATCAATGAGTTCTTGGAAAGGGCATGGTGAGGCCGAAGGCGCCGCAGCAGAAGCCGGCCACCGCCTCCGCGGGCGGACGGGCGGGCAAGTGGAGGGAAAGCGGCCGCTCGAGTGGCGGTTGGCCTTGGGGACTCGGGGAATGGGTCGTTGGCGCGGAGGCCCGATTGTCCGAACGCCTTCCCCGCCCTTAGGCGACCGGCGCCATTTCCCTGAGCCGGGGTGGGGGATGGGAGCCCGCCGCGGCGAGGCGGCCGGGCCGCGGAAACTGCGCGGGGACGGGCCGCTGTCGGTTCTTCCGAAGGGCGCGGGCCCAGAGAGCGGGTTGTGTGGGCGGCGGAGCGTTTTCGGCGGCCCCCGGGTCCCCGGAGCGGGTCTGCGGAGCCTCCCCTCCCCCCTCCCTCCCGGGAACCGGATTTGGCGTCCGCCATTTTCCCGTCTCCTTTCTCGCTGCGATTTTTGCGTTCTACACTTTAAGGCCTCCCAGTTTGCTCCCTTTTACCGCCGCCTAGGACTGGTTTGCTATTTTTCTTTGTTTTCGGCGCGGTTTCATCTCGTTTCGAGGTGAATTTAGGGGATTTTGAGCTTGGATTCTAGAGTCCTGCGCACCTCGTTAAGGGCTCCTTGCCTTCCCCTCGACGAAATGGCGCCATTGCGTTGAGCAGGCACACGGAGGGAGCGGGTGGGGGTGGAGGCGCTCCACTAGGCTTGCTGGCGCAGGCCTGGACAGCAGTGCGACCGCGGCCCGAGCATGTTGTTGAATTGCTGCAAAGCAACCATTTTATCTTCTAGCCACTGAATCCGATTAATGAAAGGCTTTATGAGCCTGCAGTGGTAAAGCACGTGAACGGCAGGAAGTTGAGACTGCTCGGTTCTGGTAGTTAGATTCTGTTAGCTCGGGCGGAGGGGTATTATTTTCCTTCGATTGCAGCGCAGGTTTACTTTCCCAAAGGATTCTTTGGTTTGAAATAATGATTCTGAGCTTAGGGTGTGTTGCTTAAACTGCAACAGGATCCTTTCACGTGACGGCCACGTTAGAGAAGATACCTTTTGCTTAAAGCCCTGCTCGGTCAACATTAATACATGAACTAGCTATATAAAAACTTTTGAGTTCTGGGCTACGATGTATTTGAACTTTGTCATTTGCTTCTCTGATTTGTGTTTGCGATCATGGTTGATGATTACTTTGATAAGGTTTCAAGTTGAAGGGGGTCTGCTTCGCTATTTTCTTTGACCCTTAGCATGTTTATAAAATCTTGTTTATAATCGATAGTGGACGTCGGGTAAGTTTGGAAAAACCTGAGGTAAGTAATGAGCTTTTGCTTTTTACAATTTAATTTAAAGAGCATATTTATTGGTATTTAAATACAACTACCTGGACACTCCATTTCCAGTCATTTTAAGTAATTAATACTAATGTTTAAAACGTCGTATTTGAATCTTTAACCTATTTTGACATTTCTATTTTTCTTCAAATAACAGAACCTGAGAAGAGCAGTAAACAATTTCTTTCTGAGAGTATTTTGAGAGACCCTTATAGACATGGATTGAGTAATAGTTGTGGAATTTTTTTCTTGTAATTTCAATTTTGTTTTCAGTTATGCAATCAAGATAGGTCCTGAATACTATGACCTAGTTTATGAACATCTTGACTTTTTAAAGCTTAGTTCTTTAAAAGCCAGTACGTAATAAAAAGCACTTCAATTAATAATTCAGGCTTTTTTTGGAAATTTTTGAGAAAACCACTTTATTCCATAAATTGTCAGAAGGCTAGTACATTGGACAAGTGTAAGCTGCTTTAATTAAAAACAGTAGCAAAGTTTTTTGAGTCAATTTGGGGCGGTGGTAACTGTAGATAAATGTGTTGTTTAGGTTTTTTTTTCTGTAGCCTAAATAACAAGAGCAGTACCTCCCCAAACTTTGCACTTCAGATGCTGATGGCTACAGGAATAAACTTTTCTAAGTTAGAAGAAAACTATAAAAAAAACTTTCGTGGAGCTTGTTTCAGTGTTGGAGCCTTCTCCCCCATACTCCCATATTTAACACCCGAGGGGTCAGTTCAAGGAAAAGCAAATCTGCCACTATTTCAGAGACTGATGCCTAATGTAAGTGGTGGATTGTGGAAAAACATTAGTAGATTTTTTTTTTCGGTTTTACATTTTTTTTTTCAACTAAAATAATTAGAGTAAATTTTGTGCTTGAGTTGTAGAATTTAATGAAGATTTCATAAGACATTTTGATGCCCCTTAAATGACCACAGAAGTTGAGTATGGTTTTTCTCAAAGATTTTGAAGAAAGTCTGTGCTGTTTAAGGTAGCTTATGTGAATTAAAGTTAGATCAAATATTAGTGACATTAAAACTTGTATAGTTCAGCTGAGGCATTTTTTGGTGTAACACATATGTTTTAACATATGGTTTAAATTTGATGTAAGTTTTTTTTTTCCCCCCAGAAAACTTTAGAAACTGTTCCTTTGGAGAGGAAAAAGGTACTCTGCCAGCAGGTCACCTCATATTTAAGAATTTAATTTCCAGCATACAAAGAGAAAATGTAAATAAAAATTGAAATGGTATTTTCCTTTGCAGAGAGAAAAGGAACAGTTCCGCAAACTCTTTATTGGTGGCTTAAGCTTTGAAACCACAGAAGAAAGTTTGAGAAACTACTACGAGCAATGGGGAAAGCTCACAGATTGTGTGGTAGGTTACTTCTGAAAGTCTGGCTACAGGTTCTAATTACTGAACTTACCCATACATTTTGGGTTGAGTCATTTTCATATAGAAAATGAGTATTAAACGTACTTTCTAATTGGTATTACTAGTTATAATACCATTAAATTAAATGCTAACATGTTTTTTGGTTTAAAGGTTATGAGAGATCCTGCAAGCAAAAGATCAAGAGGATTTGGTTTTGTCACTTTCTCGTCCATGGCTGAGGTTGATGCTGCCATGGCTGCAAGGCC